CACAATCTACTCATCTCCCTCATGCTTTCAGTGCTTAAATCATAAAGGGCAGCTCAGTGACATGCACTGAATTGCTCACCATGTCATCTTCCTTGAGGTCCTCAATTGTCTGTACATGTTCACTCTGTTCAGTCCTCTGTCACTTGTGTGCCCTAGTGATTGGCCTTAGCCCTCATTCTGTTGCTGACAGGTGATAGAAAATGACTACATTGGAGGATTTGAATGCTAAGTTTTGCAGTTGCTCAAGTTTAATGAAGGGAGGAGTATCCTAAACAGTCTGGAAGGACTAAACAGTGTGATTTCAGGGGATTTAAAATACCAACCTTCCTTTTGGGACCATGTTGGAAGCACAGTCTTGCTAAATTAGTGCTCCTTCAGGATACCTCTCCACCAGGGGAGACTGGTGATCTTCTGGTCTATGACCTTCAGGCCTGTGGACCCCCACAGAGCATTATCCCCAACTCTAGCGGGTCAGTTCTTTTGGAACAAAGTCTTCCTCATTTCTACTCTGTAAATTTGGGATTATAAGTAGGGTAATTTTTACCATTGTCTCTACTTCCACTGTATTGGTCTGTATCTATTTTCTATCTTCTGGAACCTGTTTACTAAAATTTTATTTTCCCTAAAACTATCTACCCTAAAACAGGGAATAACTACCCACTCAGCAATCTGTTGAGATGTAAATTACTCAGCATAGTATCCAATACCTTTACACTCAATGTTTGCTTTAATTCTGATGTACAATAAATACTACAGTCCATAAATACCAGTCAATGCCTTTCAGATGCTCAAAGATGCTAGTAGCCTCAACCACCTATTATTTGTATCTAGCACAATGCTTGTTACTAAGTAGGTGCTGGATGTTGAATTAATGCAGGGCTGGTGTTCTGTGCCCCAGCAAGAGTCAAGTCAATATTGGAAACACAATTATTATCACAGGCAATGCATTTACATTTCTGTGGCTCCCCTCCCCATCCTGACAGGGATACTGTAGTTAAAGATTACGGAGAATAGGAGAAGGTAGGGAAAATTAAGGTTACAACTTTATAACTGTGTAAGTGGGTAAAAAGGCAAGTCTATTGTACAATTCAAGACCATTTTTAAATTTGGGTATTTCCAGCAACTTGAAGATGCCACTTTTGTTTACAGTATTGTATCTTTCATCCTAGCTCTTACACATACACATATCTGCACAGATGCATGGAAAGGGGTTTTAATCTGTCATTTTTATCAAAAAATGACAGAAAAAGAACTTTTGAACTTAGTCTCACGTTTCAGTTTTATTTCACTTCTGATCCTTTATACATCATATGGATATAATTTATTTTAATATTATATTAGGCTCACCAAAAATGGGTGAAAACTAATAAAATTGCATTCAAACATATATCTAAAATAAAATCTTCATATTCATTTTGTGCATGGTAAATTGTCAATTAAAACTCAATGACAACACATTAATTCGAGTGACTTTAATTTTATTTTTTTCCATATAATCTTCAGAAGGTGGGAGAAGCATCCTGTAGAAGATCTCCCCACCCTTCTCTCCCCACCAGTTTGACTAAACAAGATGAACTGGGATCTAGAAAATGTATTAGTAGACTATCAGTGGTATTACTTCGTACAACTGGGTTTACAGCACCACGCTACTAAGCTAGGGTCCTAGGGCTGACCTCAGCAATGACCAACTAGTTTAAATTGTTCTATGGACCCAGGCAACATTCCTAACTAGAGATCCATTTCTCACATGCATCCCACTGTCACAAGATAAGGTACCAGCAAAATGGTAGATGAAGGAAAACAAATTTATCTGCACTAACAACAAAAAAACCCCTTCCTTCCATGTGTACTACTGACGGTGGCCTTAATAAAATCTTATCTGTAAAGAAAAAACTACAGTCTTAGCTCTATGTTAAGAACATTTCAAGTATAAAATAATCACAACAGTAACACCTGACTCTTGTGTTTAAGAACTGTCTAATAACATTGTACACAAAGTTCTACTGCAGGCCCTGATAACTGTTACCCAACCCGTGTATGTTAGTTCTATATAAACGTCCATTTCTCTTTACTATTATCTGTGTACGAGTTTTGCATATTTGCCATCAGTTATTTGGTTCAGAGTATTGTGAAAAATTCAGCTAGAAAATTATTCATAAAACTGTATTCTGTATTTTATTTTTCAAACAGCCAGTGTCCACATTTAAAATGCAGAATTTGCAAATATAAGTTAATCTAATAATTCAGTTTAAAATAAAACAACTTCCTGTAGTATCACAATACATAAAATGGTATTATAAACTCCAATGGCAAGGTTATCTATATGACAATAGTGCCAAAAATTGTGACACTCAGTAAACCTCCTAATGCCAAGGTCAGTTTACAGAACGCTTCCATGTTCCATGACTACACATGAAACCATCTCTCACTGTTTATAAAGGCTCAGCAATCCATTCATGGCATAAGACGGGGTCAAGCAAGATTTCTTTTTTTTTACAGTAACAATACAAATGTATTTAAACAAACAGAAAACCCTCCCAATTGTTTAAAAACAATTATATTTGGAAGGCAAAATATATCTAAAATACTTTTACTTACTAAATTTCACTGTCAGGTTGCTGACTACTAATGTAAAAGTTTGTATTTAAAAATATCACAAATATCTTATTTAACAGTGAAAAGTTCAATATGGTAAGTTTCATTGCAAAGTGATTTTCACCTGAGTAGATTTTGAAATTTAGTGCTCATATTTTTTGGGGGAAGAAAAAGGACCCACTTTGTATCTGATACTGAGCTTGCAGGTGACCCTTCAAACTGATCTCTTAAGGGGCGAAGAAATAATCCTCTGTGATGTTACCAAGACATGACACACTGTCATAGACTTGTTTTGGCATTTTATGAATCTCAGTATCCATTAAATATTTCCACTTAGCTACCCATTCAAGCACAGCAACTCAATTCATTCATTTCTATACAACAGTGTCTATATTATGTACATGTTTAATTATCAATAGGAAATAGAAAATTAAAATTTACAGTGATTGAGAAAAGGTCAGAAAGTGGGATAGGAAGAGTAATACTGTATAATCAGAATATCCTAGTAGCCTACCGGTTCCAATGACAGAGTTTTTCTTTTATTAGTTGAAATACAAAGAAGTTATAGGAGATCCCAGGAAAATAACACTATATATTAGAAACGTGCTCCACCATCAGGATTTCCATCACACATTTAATTTCTTCTGTACATTTTTTTATAAACTTGTTTTTCTTTTCAAAAAATCATCAGACTTCCAGATCAAATTCAGCACTACACAGTATGCCCTTGAAGTAAAATGAGGTTACCTGCTTTATTTGGATACCAAGTTCCCTTCCAGACAGCATTAAAATAAAGACAAGACTACACAGATAAAATCCAGTATAATTCAAATCCAGCAATGAAAAATTTCCCCATATTGTTGCAAAATTCTTTCTACTGAAATGCCTCGCTACAATAATAAAAAGCATACATTACATATAAAAGATACCAGTGTACTAAAAAGTGACAGAAGTGGACTAGCAAATCCTTCAAAGCACATTATATAAATGACTAGCATTTAAAAACATTTCTCCTATAAAATGTAGGTCATATACATTTATAAATTGGCGTTTTTATTTCTAAAGCAGTGATGTGTGTTAAATAACTGTTCTGTACAGTATAGTATCTACTCAATTCAAACTACAAGTTTGTCTTTCTTTGTATTGAAGTTAAATAAATTCATCTGTTCAGTTGAGAGACCAAGCTTGAAAAATAACTATCTAAAAATCAAAGTAGAAAGTTCAGAATTGTTGAAATAGAGCTACGAAACATGAAGAGAACTATCTATTTCATAATGAAGCTGAAGTCACCTCAAAACTTACAGGCTTGAAGCTAAAATAGAAACAAATATTAAAATCCAAAGCAAAGCACAAAGTTAGGTAGGAGTATAGAAGCAAGAAAAAAATAGAAAACCAAACAAAAAAACACAACCAACCAAAAAACCACATCCCTTCCTTCAGTGTGATGGGCACTAAGTTTTGCGGTCTTCCTCCATCTTGCAGAAGAGTGGTAAGGCCATTCAATGCTTAGTGAAAGTGAGTACAGATGAAGCCAGATATAGCCTGTCTCCCCTGCAACTTCAATTATGCTGTGTAAACAGTGTTACGTTCCAATAGGAGGAACAATGGAATTTGCTTATAAAAACTGATTAGAGATAATCATTAAATGAAATAAGGATAACTCTGAAATGTTTTTAGAACTTTCCTGATGCTACTTGTAAAGTTAGCACTGCTATGTATTATTGCTTACATACAGTACAACATCATATGCCTTCTAACATAAAGCAGTACTGTGATTTGTTTGTACATATTTACAGATTCTTAAAAACAAGCTGTAAAAACATTACATACTTTCAGACAATACAAATTAGCACATTGGTACTCACTTCAAAACAAATGGAATGCATAACATTAATAAACATCATAAAGGAAGACTCACATGAAAGTCATTGATTGTCAAGACACGTTTATATATAAACTCTAACTGTGCAGAATTAAAGATTCAATCATAGGTACATCCTTACTTGATGAACCGTATTTACAGCATGGTATTGCATAAAAAAATAAAATAATGTTTACAGGGTTTTACTTTTTTATCCATTGGATTAAAGAAAGCAACAAACATAACAAGAAATGTTTGTCTGCTTTAATTTGTTTCCTACCAAAGTTTAAGTGAAAAAAAGGAAACACACGGTTTTTATTTGCAGAATATAGCAAACACAACTGGAAAATTATTTCCCTGAAATAAAGGAACTTGAAACAGAAAATATTTAAATTAAATTGCAGACTCAAAAAATTTTCCTCACTGGTTATAATAGTACTTTTTCAAGTAAAGGTACTGTGAAAACACAAGTTCTAGTGTAAGAAGTTAGTACTACTAAGAAATTCAGTACTATAGTAATGCCTACTTTTTAAAGTTTCCCGGCTTTTTTTTTTTAAACAGCCCTTGAAAAATCCAAATCAATAAAATGAAACAAGTGGCAAAAGATCTAACCTTGCTGGCACTTTTACAAGTGTCTCTCATCTGTGGAAATGAAAGCCTGCCCTGAGCATAAGGCCTTTCTACCTCTCTAGAGATAAAAGGACCTAACTGCTGGCATCCTCAGCCAGAGCTAAGGAGATGGATTCCTACCTTATCAGGTAGCACGTTTTGTATGTAGATCAAAAAATTTGGGAGCCACTCAACTATTCCAAACCAAGTAACACATATGTGTAATGTAAGAGTTTAAGTGAACTGCCCCCAACACCTTTGAGATGATGTTTGAGAGATACTACTTCATCTGAAGTGATTGCTTCCCATCTTCAAACACAAAAGCAAGGACCCAAGTGAAAAAAGCACACCTCACTCACACTCAAAACAAAGGTTTAAGGGTGCAAGAGCACACTATATTATAGAGCAATTTGCTCACTGAGAGAAATGAGAAACATGGACTGCAAAGGATATCTCATATCCTCCATGTTTCAACTAAAAGCACAAGGCTACTTATTTTCTCTACTAATGCCCAAAAAGATATTAAAATAACTTTCTGAACCAAAGTGGGGAAACCCAAACTGTTGTGATTTTATCATGATGATAATACAAGGTAACTCAGGTAGGCATTTAAAATTTCACAGTAGGAGTGATGACTATATTTAAATGGTACGTCAATAAGTTATGCTGGCTAAGTATCAGTTATCTAAAAAATGCTTATAACCTGGTAGGAAAGTCTGCCATTATACAGATTTAAAGAAATGTGTTTAAGACAGGAATGCGACACCTGAAATTCTGTTTGCATACTCCCATTTTTAAAGGCCTTCCTTCCTAAGCTTACCCAAACTGCTTGGCAACAGTCACTTTCTTAAAACTGTGCTGGTGATAGTAAACAGAAAGCTTTACACTTTACCAAGAACTGCATCAAGTTTTCAACAGAACATAGTTTTTGATAAGGCTCAACTCAGGAAATAAATGCCTATGCTTATCAAAAGTACTCTGAGGAAAATACAAATCCCTATCTAGGGAGAGCACAGTTCCATTTTTAACACCTCACTTGAACGAAGTCTTCCTGCAATTATGTGATGTACAACACATATCAACCTTAAGATCAATAATGGCAGAACTTAAATATTTACTTCAAAGAAGTCTAAAATTCTTGAAAACTTTGACAGCCAACAAAGCCATCAACTGCAAAAACTAGTATTTCAAGAGAAGCTTAATGATAAAGGTATAGGAAACCACATTAAACATAATTTATATTCCTTATCATAAAAACATCAATATATGCAAAATAAATGATGTGAAGCAGAAGGATGTTCCTTTGTTCCCTTTCTTGAGAACAACCTTGGGATAACATTAAATAAGAGAAATAATAATTTAAATGCATAACAGTCTACACTGAAAGGAAGAATGAAGACCAACAGGGCCAGTATAAAGGTTAAAATGAAAAATTAACAAAGTAAAAGTCATCTTCCAAGGGTACTAGATTTATCACTAAGTGCGCACTGTGATAAAGATGGCAGAAATTTAAAAGACAAAAACCAAATGGTTAGAATTAATATAACTAATGTTACTCTTTAAAGATCAAAACTCTCCAATGTATAACTCAAACCATGGCTTTTCAGAAAAGTATATATGTATATATATATTAAAAGCACTATTTATTGTACCATGCTGTATTATTTTAAGACAAAATATAAAAAAAAACATTCGTGATATAAGGATAAAGGCTGTAGTTTATTTAGATTTTGAAATGCAACAAAAATTTCCGATCACTCATCTAGCTGAAAAAGAAATTGTAGTTACTGGAATTAGTAAACACTTTTGGTTTGTAAAACTGTAATGAGCAGTGTTCATTAAAAAGTAACTCAAAATAAAATAAGCAATTAAAATGCCCACTTCTTTAGTTTTTAGGATAGCTTAGTTATCCCATCTATCGAGAGTCTAGAAAGAGAAGGATTAAACCATGTTTAACAGTTTCAAAGATACCCCAATTTCTTTTTATTGCCAAAAATTAAAATAGTCAACCATGAGATGATTATGACACAACCATTTCAAACCTAAAAATCTAATTTTTTTTTTACCTTGAGAGATCAAAAATACCAAATAGATTCTAAGTGCTCTATGTTAACTGAAGTGTATATGTAAAGTAAAATACAATTGAGCTTTAAAACATGGAATATACATTTGTGTAAGCATTATGTTCTTGGGAATGTAATCTACAGAATATTTTTTACTAAACCTTCGAAATCTTGATACTTGCACATGAAAAATCATAAAAAATATCTAGGTACAACTGTACAAAGAAACTGACACTAATATACATACTTTCATAGAGAAGTGAATGCTTTAACAGTTGTGTGTTTTGGTAGAAGTTCTGAAAGTATGCATATTTTAGAAGTAATTAGGCTTTTAAATAGTGGAGTCTTAGACTATCAGGTTTTTATTACTTTTTTTTTCTTAAAAAAAAACACGTCAATATAATGCAAAATGAAAATCAAGGGTATATGGCAAATCATTCTTTTTAAAAGGTGGTTTCTTTCCCCCCAGAGGACAAACTAGTTTATTTAAGCCATACTCTCTTGACATTTAAACTTTTAAGTTCACTCTGTCGGTAAAGTATACTCAGATTCCCTGCTGAAGTGCAATGACTAGGCTGAAAAACTTAAAAACAAGTATGAGTAAATTTCACACAATTACTAATCTCCTAAGAATGTACAATGTTATCAGTTAGGAAACAATTGTGTGAGTCTCTTTTTTTTCCTTTTGAACTTGGTGTAGGTGGAATAGCAAGTTTCTGATCTAAAACAAATAATGCATTGCTTCTATAAAGGTGACATGTAAGGCAGTTCAAAAAATGCTGACTAACCAAACAAAATGCAGTTATTGGATTATCTTGCTATTCATATCAACTTAACTTATTATTAACGCATTGCTCTTAACTCTGTACAGCACTCCATTTTACACAGAGTAACCCCACTCTTGATTAATCTGTTCTAAAGTGCCAGTATTATTTACACTTTTTTTTTTCTTTTTTAGCCAAAAGTCTGGCCAGTTGTGGCATCCGGTGAAGATGTCATCCCAGCTCTATTATCATTTACATTCACCAAGGGAAATTCTGAAAATTCAGCACTTGTCCCTGGTCCCCGAAGGTTCACCTGTCCATTGGCAGTGCTAAATTGAGTAGCTATTCCGGCTCTGGATCCATGATATGGAGCACGGAAAGGCTGTTCAAAGGAGCTCATTTGGTAAGCTTGATGGACAGGCTGAGCCTCAGCTTTCTTCTGAGAAGTCACCTGATCCAAAAAGTCCTGTGTTGATGTGGCAGAAGCATGGTTTGTCTCATCACCTGAAAAGGGAAATGAGTGCTGTGAATCACCAACTATTAGTCCAAAGTGGGACTTATCTGGAGTTGTTCTTAGTGGAGAATTCATTCCTGATCGAAAGCTATTGATGGGCATGGCTGCATAGACTTGTTTGTCTATGGAAGAGAATGCTGGCTGATTTGGAAGGGTCTGGTTATCAGTCACAAAGTTAAGGCTTGGGCTATTCAAATAGGCATCATTTTGGCTAGTTCTGTCCAAAGCCTGCTGCAGAAACTTTGAGTATTCCTGCAACATGTTGGCTTTGTCTGATGAGGATGCTTGGGAGCTTGATCCAACATTCTCTGACTGGGTAACCTCAGGTACTTCTGACGAATTAATTGATATGCTAGAAGTCACTTCAGTGTCTGCAACACTGAAGGAAATCTCATGTTGTCCATTAGCTTTATGGGAATAATGATCCAATAGAGTCTGCAATACCTCATCTGGAATAACATTTTTGTCATGATTACTTTTAATCTCCACATTCAGAGCCTGTGAATCTAATATGGATGCTGTGGTGCTTTCATCAATGACACTTGCCACTGCTGCTTGTGTTACAGAAGGCTGGGAAGCTATAGTACCCACGTTCAGAGCATATTCCCTGCTATTGTTACTTGCTGCTTGAAGATACCGCTTCTTCTTCAAAAACTGCATGGCATCATCGTAATTAGTGCTGCTATGCACAGGTTTACTGGGCCCCTCCTGCAAGGTATCTACCTGGTCAATGTCAGCATTGCCTTCTGAGTCTAGCAGAGCTTGTTTATCCACAAGTTCAAATGCATACTTTGAAACTTTGCTCTCTTCATATGTGGACAAAGGTGAAATTGTTTGATTTTGCTCTAGTGGCTGTTTTAGACTTCTCTTGCTATTAATTTTTTTGAGAACCAACTTTGGTGGATGTATTTCTCCTGATGCATCTTCTAAATGCGATCCTCCAACTGAAGAATGTGGCATTTCAACAGCATACTCTGCTACCATGTACTCATCTTTTACCTTAGTACTTGAAGAATAAAGAGGCAAATAATCGTTTTTGTCTTTCTTCAGGTCAGATTTGTCCAAAGCATTATCTTTGTCCATTCCAGATGACTTCTTTTCAGTTTTCTGCCTTTTCTTTTTTGGCAGTGAGTTATCTTTTGGTGATGTAGAAAAGCCAGAATCCTCCTCAGATGTCAGAAGGCCACCTTTGATGGCACATCTGTTAAGTTTTTTGTCATGATTTTCATGGCACATACGTTTATGTTTCAACACACGATCTGTTCTGGAAAAATACTGTCGAAATCAGAGGTTGGAAGTAGGTTTTTGTGTTTGTTTTTGTCAACAAAGAAAAAAAAAGAAACAAAACAATATAAGTATAACAATATAAATAATTCCAAACCAATTTTTTTATAAATCTGGTTAATAAGAATTTAAAACCTTTTTAAGTAGTTCTAGTAGTAAATTACATTTTCTAATTTATTAGAATTATTTGATTATGTAAACAGAATAGAATATCTTCCAGCCACCCCTTCTTACCTGTAAACAGTATTCACACTGGTAAGGTTTCTCTCCACTATGAGTTCTCTTATGCCTTTCCATATGATATTTTTGTATGAATCTCATACCACATTCATCACAGCGAAATGGTTTTTCACCTAGTACATGATAAAAAGTTTAAAACAAAACAAATATTATAAAATAATGAATTTCTTTGCCACAAGATTCACTTAAATAAATGGCTTTTGACAACTATAATCTGCTCTTTTTAAAAGACAAGTCTTCCCTATACTAAAGGCTGGAAGCAGGAATATCTACTTTACCTCCCCCCTTCTGTCAGGCACATATACAGTATGCTCTTCTTCTGGAGACCAGCACACCCTAGAGTAATACAGACATTCTTCCCATTCAGCAGCTGATATTTCCCATCATTTTTGTGATCATACCAAACAGTATCTTGAAACTTAAAAAAAAAAATCTAAATCCTAAGAAAATATTCTTTAAAACCTAATTTATTAAGTTTATATAAAAGGACCTCTGAGACTAAATTTCTGTTTGTTTATATTGATTCTTTTTTTCAACTCAAACCACAACTCTCCCATCATCTGGGAAATGAACTAAACTGAGTTATTATCAACTGAAGACACACTGCCCTTACCACCCCATTTAAACAAAAGCCCTTAAGGACTTCTTAGCTATAAGGAAACATTACTGCAGAGCCCTATTTGGTCTGACTAATAAAAATCACAGTTTACTTACTTATAAAAATCAAAGTCTAAGTAATCACAGAGTAGGGCAAGAAGTTATCTTAAACAATACTTGTTTGGGAAACTCCTCTATATTTGTACTTATCATATATTTAACAAAATTTTACTAAATACTGTTCCTCAATCCATAGCACTTTTAACTCAGTACTGTAGTGAGTTAAAAGCTGAAGACATACTGCCTATCCTCAGAGAGTTTATAGCATAGTTGGAAAAACAAGATAAATAATGACAACTCACAGAACTACCAAAGTACCTACCACCTCATATTTTTCTGCTTTTGCCTTGATCCATGTTCTTCCTTCAGTCAAGAATTCGGCCTTTGAATTCTCAGACACCAAATCCCCTTTCAAACCAAGCCCGAATACCCTAGGACCCTCCATTCATCCTCTCCTATGCAACTCAATACTTTCATTCAGTTTTTTTGTTTTGTTTTGTTTTGTTTTTCCCCAATGCCTGTCCTGACCTTCAACTCAGAGCTTGGGCATTGTCCCTGAGCTTTTATGCTCAAGGTTACCATGCTACCACTTAAGCCACAGATTCACTTTTGGCTTTTTGATGATTCATGAGAGATGAGTTTCTTAGTATCAGCCTCCTGAATAGTTAGGATTATAGGCATGAGCCACCAACACTCAGCTTAGTTCTATTCTGTTGCAGAGTACATTTCCTTAGGTCAGAACCTAGACTTAACATAGTTCAAAATACCTTGAGCAATTTAAGTGCCTACTGAATGACACAGATGATGCTTACTACAGTGAATCACTAGTGAAATAAATGGCACTAGGAGCTGGTATGATGTGGAAAAACTCTTGCAAATGTTTGAATATAGTAGTTGGGTAGCACTTGAAAAGTGCTTTCTTGCCGGCAAGAAAATCTGGGGATAACAGAACTACTAAGAGGTTAAATGTGGTAGAAATGGAGTCTAAGACAAGAATTTGATTTGGCAACAAGAATATTAATTAAAACAATGGAGGGGCTAAAAAAAAAACAAAAAACAAAAAAAAAAAACTCTGCAGAATGTAACTTCTGGCAGAAGACTTTAAGATGGAAAAGACCTCTGAGTGGCTTTCAAACTACTCATGGGCTTCCGCAGAAGTACTGATGCTGGTATAGCAAAAGGTTCAAGGTTGTTAAGCAAAATTCAGTTTTGGGTTTTTTTGTTGTTGTTATTGTTGGCACATGCATGTATGTGCTGGCACTGGGGCTAAAACTCAGGGTCTCATGCTATTACTTGGCTTTTGTGTTCACACATAGAGATCTACCACTTGAACTACACCTCTACTTCTAGCTTTTTGCTGATTAACTAAAGATTTAACCTACTGGGTCTCCAAGTAAAGGTTCAAAAGGTTCAGAAGACAGAGAGATAGCATACCTCAATTAATCTAGACTAACTTAATCATTTTACAGTAAAAGAAATCTTGATGCCCAGGAAAGTTAAAGCATTTTGCAATAAATAATTATGAAGCAACAGAAACCAGGAGACAAGACCACTTACAAGCAAGTTTAGAAATGAGAAAAAAAGTAGATGTACTGCATAACAGAAAGTAATCTCAGAGTAAATCCTGCTAAAGATGGGGAGAGATTAAATTGTCTAAAGGCAGAGGAACCAGTGGAGACAAAATACTGAATATGAACACTGTAAACTAATATGGAATAATTACAGTGAATAACAGAGGAATAAGATCTCAAGAATCAAGATGAGAAGGGAAGGTAGGTATAAATAATGTAGGAAGGCAAAAAGTAGTACACATTTTGAAACTGAAAATGCTGGGCACGACTGGCATTTATATTTATTTATTTTGTCGGCCGTGGGGCTTGAACTCTGGGCCTGGGTGCTGTCTCTCAGCTCTTCAGCTCAAGGTGAGCGCTCTACCACTTGAGCTACAGCGCCACTTCCGGTTTTCTGGTGGTTTATTGGAGATAGGAGTCTCACGGTCTCTCCTGCCCGGGCTGGCTTTGAACCGCGATCCTCAGATCTCAGCCTCCTGAGTAGCTAGGATTACAGGCGTGAGACACCAGCGCCCGGCTGGCATTTATATTTATAACCCTAGTTATTCAGGAACCTGAAATGTGAAAATCGCCAGTTCAGGCAGGAAAGCCCATGAGACTTTTTTTAACTGTATTTTTTTTTTCTTTTCTTTTATGGTACTGGGGATCGAACCCAGGACGTTGCACTTGCTAGGCAAGCGCTTTGCCACTGAGCTACATCCCAGCCCATCCCATGAGACTCTTATCACCACTTAACCACCAAAAAACTGGAAGTGGAGTTGTGGTTCAAGTGGGAGAGTGCTAATTTTGAGTGGAAAAAGCTAAAGGATAGGGATAGCTCCCAGGTTGTGAGTGCAAGCCCCAGGATTGGTACAATGAAAAAAAAAAAAACATAAGAAACTGAGAATGTAGACAACAGAGCTAAGGTAAAAAAGTTAAAGTCATTTTTCAAAAGTGAGAAGAGAGAAAAATTACGAAGTTGATTAGAATTAATCAATTCATGGACTAGAAAATGTAATACTGCTAAAATAGCAATACTCTTCAAGATCAAAACAATCAAAATATACAAGACAATCTTAAAGAGAATCAAATCAAAGGATTTACATTCCAAGGTTTAAAAATAACTGCAAAACTACAATAATCAAGATAATGTAACATAGTTTAAGGATAAACTTATTCAAGATATGGAATTCATATTTTGGAAACAAACCCTTACATTTATGGTAAAGAAGTTTCTGAAGGTGTCAAGGTAATTCAATAAAGAAAGAATATTGTTTTGAACAAATTTACCTGCACAATTTCACACTCATATGCAAAATAACAAAACTGGACCCTTACTTCATGTAATGAATAAAAATACTTTAACGTAGATCATAAACCTTGGGTAGGCAATGGTTTCTTAAAAACACCACCAAAAGAAGTGTTAGGTGTACTCCTGTAACTCTAGCTATAAGATCATAGTTCAAGGCTATGCTGGGCAAACATATCAGTGAGACCCTGATTCAAAAACAAGCTGTGCCTGATATTACACACCTATACTCTCAGTTATACTGGAGGTGGAGGTAGGAAGATCTCAGTTGCAGGACAGGCTAGGCCGAGTTTATGTAAATCTGAAAAATAAACTTAGAAGCAAAAGGATTGTTGGGGTGGAGCTATGTGGCTCAAGTGGTAAAGCACTTGCTGTAAGCATAAGATTCTGAGGAGTTCAATCTGCAGTAACACACACACACACACACCCGGAAAGTCTTCCTCCTACTCCCCCTGTCCCATTTGTTCTACTTCTGGGAGCTGTTCCCGGGTTTGATATAACATGCACAAAACTAAATGAGTATTTTGTTTCCATCTTTTTCTTTTGTGTCAGTAGTAGAGCTTGCACACGGGCACTATGGGCACTATTCCCTTAGCTTTCTCTCTCAAGGCTGGTGATCTACCACTTAAGCCACAGCTTTTTGCTGGTTAATTGGAGATAAGAAACTTTGGGGGGGGGGCTGGGAAGATGGCTCAGTGGTAGAGCGCTTGCCTTATATGCACGAGGCCCTGGGTTCGATTCCTCAGCACCACATAAGCAGAAAAAAAAAAGCCGGAAGTGGCGCTGTGGCTCAAGTGGTAGAGTGCTACCTTGAGCTGAAGAGCTGAGGGACAGCACCCAGGCCCAGAGTTCAGGCCCCACGACCAACCAAAAAAAAAAAAAAACAAAAGAACCTTTGGGGATTTGTTTTCCTGGGCTGGCTGGGATCCTTAGACCTCAGCCTCTTGAACAGCCAAGGCATGAGTCACTGGCACCCATTTCCCTCTTTTATAAGGACAGCAAAAAAGTATACATTAATAAAAACATACTTTATTAACTGTCCTTATTTTTCTTCAGTTAATATTATGTTTTGGAGCTCTAATCCATAACAAGAGCTGTCATTTTTTTCTGATAGATACTTTGCACTAATGGAAAATTACCATATACTACAATTTAATCTGTTATAAAATAGTTTTAAAATCCATTAACTCATATACTAAATTAAAATATACATAACTCAGCTGGTGGCTCATGTCTGTAATCCTAGCTATTTAGAAGGCTGAGATCTGAGGATTGAAGGACAGTTGGGGCAGAAAGTCTTGATGAAGACTCTTATCCTCCAATTAACCATTCAAAACTGGGAAGTGGAGCTGTGGCTCAAAGTGGTGGAGCACTAGCCTTGAGCAAAAGAGCTCAGGGATACCCTGAGTTCAAGTCCCATGACTGATCAAAAAAAAAAAAGTATACATACATATATTAACCCATATATTACAGGACAGATTCCTAGAAACAGAATTATTGATCAAATAAATATCTGTGATTCTTCTTTTTGTTTTTTGGTCAGTCGTGGGGCTTGAACTCTGGGCCTGAGTGCTGTCTCTCAGCTCTTCAGCTCAAG